GTTTCTTTATAACTGGAAGGTAATCAGGACACTTTTAAGTTAACTGGTTTAAAAAATGCACTTAAACATGAGAAATGTGAAACTATACTGAACAGGTCATTTATTTTATTTTATTTATTCATTAATTAAGAAAAAAATATTTAAATGCATAAATAAAATGGTTAAATCATATTTGAATTGTTTTTGTAAATTTATTTATATGTAAATAAAATGGGCATTTGATATCGCAATATATTGATCGCAGACTTGTGAATCGAATAGAATCGAAAACATATCGTGACTTTGTGATATCGAGAAAAATCGTATCGTCATAGAAACAAATCAATATAATATTGTATTGTGGTAAAGCTGGTGATTTACACCCCTAGTCTTGTCTTCGACATCTAAATCATAAATGCAACTCCCAGGCCTCCCTTGGAAAAGAGATCTGTGGTCCCAGTGGGATTTACCAAATAAATATTTCTGAACAGATGTTTGTCACATGAATGAATTGTAGTTATTTTAAAGTGGTGATTCTGTTTTTAAGAGTTTGTGAGTTTGAAGGAGAGCAGTGCTCTGAAACGACATAACAAACTGCAGTGTGAGCTCTGCTGGTTGTGGATCTTTTTGTCATTCTTCCTTTATGAACCGTTGGCCCATCACTCCCTCCAGTGAACTTTAGATGTGCATGTTTTCCTTTTACTTCACCAACAGCTGTCAATGTGCCTCTTAGGTCTGCAATCACAAAGCACATTTGTGACATGCTGGTTGATTTCAGAGTGTCGTCATTTTGGTCTCAGATCCTAATAATGTAGTGTGACCTTCAGTGAGGCTGTTAGAGGTCACACCCCAAAAAGCCTCAGGTCAAGGTCTCATACGATCTTTTTATCCCTGGATGTTGCCTCCTCTGCTTGCTGCCGGCTCTCTCCTTCAGCCTTTCATTCCACAGCACCACACAGGAACCACTGGTTCTGATTACATCTGAGCCGGTCAGACTGAACACAGCAGGGAGTAAATCTGACCCCCCAGGATTGAACACCCGTATGTAATTTCACTGACATTCTTTAAACTGTAATCTAGCAGAAAAGACCTGGCATTCTTTGAAGAACTCTTCCCCCACTCCACTTTTTCTGCCATAGTTTGGGATTAAGATCATGTTATGATGAGAAATGATGTGCTTTTAGACATTTTTGTCAAACCTTGAGAACATCATAATGCGCGCTCTCCTGTGATATCAGATGCCTTTTATCCACCTGACAAGGGTCTTGATCTTCTATCAACTTTAATGCGGCCCGAACCGCAACATGTACCCCCACAAATGTTATATCAAAACGATCTCAGCACTGTGATGTGTGCTGTTACTTTTATTACCATTTGAGTTACTATGGCGACGTAATTTGCAAACAAAGATGCCTTTTCTCTCATTGAAAAACACGTCGAGAATTAATGGCCTCTAATGCCACTTTTCCATCAGTAACGGTACAGCACGGTTCCAAGGCTTTTCCACTAGTAACGGTTCGTGGAACCAGTCCCTTTTTTCAGTACCCATTTCTGTGGTGTTCCAAGTGGGTCGAACTGGCACCAAAACGTGACGTCAGAACACTGTCGGTCACTGATTGGTCAGGGGGTGCAGTCACTGGCTGTTTGAGAAACTTTCACAACACCCGATCCGCCATTTGCAATAACTCAAACTTGAGGAGCGATTGGATCTATTTTAAAGATTTTAAAAACAATAATGACAACACAGTGGTCTAATGCTGAAGTGCAGGCGTTTTTTGTGCTTAGTGACCAACGACAAAATTCAGGGCGAGCTAGATGGAGTTCCACCGAAGCCTCGGAGCCCCCGCAGGCCAGTCAGGGCATTATCTCCCCAGCTCCGAGCTCCGCGGGTCACCACGGCAGATCCTATGAGCTGCCGATGCGTGCTCATGAAGGCCGGACCCCGAGCCCCGGCAGATGGGCGGACCGGGACAGGTCTGGGACGGAGGGTAGATACGATTTTACAAAACATTTTATATATAAAAAAATAATGTATTATTTTCCAACATTTTTCAGTCAGATTATCTGGACAGTTTCTTTTTTTTTTTTTTTGTACTGAAATGTTTCACCTTCAATCCGGAAGGCTTCATCAGTCAAGGAAACGCACAACAAAACTGATTCTTCCCTGATTCTGCATTCGGGCCTAAAAAAATCTGATCCGACCTGGCCCCAGTCCGCAGTCATAATTTCCGAACCCCACCCGACCTCACAAATTAACAATAATTACAGGGCCAAACCCAGAAACCCCCCCCAACATTTTTAATTAGTTATTAACGATCGGAGACACGCGACTGAATGGGGTGAAGATTTAGAGCTTAGAGGGTGTTTGTCATTTCATGGCCGTAAAAGAGCATTTAAACCCTGTTTCTGCTGCATTCTGATTTATTCAGACATGGACCGCTCTGACACGTCTGCTTTGAGATCTTACCTTTTTGGATCATCAGCCGCGCGTATCCACTGAGTGCAGCGGCTGAATGAACGTCCATTTGGGCGATGGATCACTTCCTGGCAGTACAGTCCCATCTGAAGCTTAACTGAACTTTTTACCTCTTTCAAGGCCGGTCAGCTCGCGGTGAAATGGCCGTATATGGCTGGTGAAGTACGGCAGGCCATGTTATCATATAATTGGATCGTGGCTGATCCTGACCTACTTAAAAGCCCGACACCCACCCGGCCCGCCCCGCCCCCAATTCGGGTCGGGTGGTGCCGGGCTTAGGGCTCAGGTTAGAAATGACAGCTCTAGTCTTTTTTATTGTTTCTTAATGTGGTGAGTCCATATTTTTGACCAGGGGCTGTTGATGTACAGTAGTCCCTCGCTACTTCGCGGTTCGTTTATCGCAGATTCGCTCTATCGCGGTTTTTCAAAATAAGATTGGACATGACACACAACTGGCTGATTGCTGGATGAGCCACACGATGGCCATGAAATTTTTATTTAAATAAATTATTTAAAATTATTTAGCACCTCCTGCAGCTTTGTGCAGCCCTTACTGCTGCAAGGTAAACTTCCTGCTGCAGCTAAACAGCTGATCAGCTGTTCAGCGTGCAGAACGGAGAAATGGGCGTGGCCAAGAGCACTTGCAGATGGCAAAGATCAGAGGAGGCAGAGAGCTGAAATCATGACATCCTGTATTCTTTTAGAGCGTTTAGAGTTTAGAAACATTGTTTAGAATAATGCAAGAGTGTGGGAAGGGTTTAAAATGCCTTTATATATATAAATACTAAAACAAACTACTACTTACTACTTGTACTACTATTCCTACTTCGCAGTTTTTCACTTATTGTGGATCTTCACGGTACGGATGCCCCACGATAAACAAGGGACTACTGTACATCCAATGATTACTTTCTGAAGGTTTAGATAAAATCCATCTTGCGGTTTATAAATTTTTTTGCTAACAAACACAGAAAAATACGGCATTGGGTAAAATCATTATTGTTCACTTTTCGATAGCGGGTGATAATGAACTTGGGGATTAGTGAATATAAGCTGTGCATTTGCTCAAAGTTCTTTTAAAAACAATTCTAGATTTTTTTTTCATTATGTGTGGAGTGGTTTGTCTCTGATTTTTATTTCTCCTCTTTATTTCAGTCTTGGACACACGACATATCTAAGGAGAAAGAGTTCCTCCGTAAGCTGGTGAAGGCCAACGTGATCACAGATCTCACCAAAGGTATCTGAGTTTACACGCACCACCAGCCTCCCTCTGCCTTTCCCAGCGGACACTGAAACTCAGCTGGGGAATGGACTGACGTGGGGAGAAGAGAAGTCCTTGGCGAGGCCAACCTTCAACCAGGGTTTTTACATCCAAGGAGATTAGAAAACAGATTACAAGAGGAGTTTTGTGGAAAGATGCACTCATGTGCCTTCTGAACCAAAGACTCCTGCTCACTGAAGCGGGGGGGGACAGGCTACAGGAGGACTGGACCAACTCGGTTCCTGTCCGTCAAAACCACAGTCCCAGTATTGCTGTGCCGGCCCTCCACTTCAGGCCCCCCCAAGTATCAAACAAAGAGTAAGAGCGACGATGACGCATTGGTTCATGGAAGCTTCAGTTTGAATTCCTGTTTAATTCATCGAGAGGAGAAGAAGTTGAGCAGAGTGGAGACGGCTCGAGTATTAGCAGTGCCAAATGTACCTCGTACAGGGGAGAGGCTGTCTCTCCTGCTGCCTGAATGTATTCACTTTACTCAGTGTAAATATTAAAAGTTTTTACTGTGCTTTTTAACAAGCGGTGATAGCTCCATGATCCCATCCCTCACCTTTTAGTTCTATGTGTGTGCGTCCAGATGGCCTTTGCGTGTCCTGACTGACATGCATTTGTGACAGCCAGAAAATATGGGGAGCCATGGGGAAGAAAAAAAATGTCTGAAAGAATAGGAGGACCCGGTGGTGTACTGTGAAGGCCAAAATTCAGAAAGTCGATGAAGGAATCAGCAAACAGTACTTTAAAAACTTCTGAACTGCCATCAGTTTCACTTCTACAGTTATTTTCATGGAAGTCTGTGATTTTCTTATTTTATTTTTATTTTTTGCAAGAAGTGAGCTTTAACACTTCTGGTGCATCACTTCCAGGAAGAATTTATTTACATTTCTGCAGAAATAACAGAATAATGCAAAAGTAATGGTTGTGTAAAGGTGTAAATCACAGCTTCTGTCTGAGCTGTTTGGAAATGTTCAACATCATGGTAGTTTTAAAGGCAGAGTCTAATGATCTTTTAAGAGATGTTCTATCAGAGAGTTATTAACAGTTTATCAGCTGTGGCCTCCCTTCTAGAGACCAGAGTCTGGAGAGGAGGCGGAAGTCCTCCCCCAGGCTAGGCTAATGGCTAACCAAACAAGTACCATCTTTTCTAAGACAACTCTTTTTAAAAACAACCTACTGATGTGAAAGAACTTTACAATAACTAATATATCAAAATCTCTTCATAACTACAGGAAGCTAAACAAACAATGCCAGCTGAAAGTGGAGAAGTTTAATGTTTGATAATGTGGTACGTTTTTGAGGAAACTTGGTTCTTGCTTGGCTAAGCTAGTCTGTAGCTAGCCTAGCCTGGACAAAGACTTCTGCCTCTTTTTCTAAACTCTGTTCTGACTGATGTCACGGCTGATAACATGCTAATAACTCTGTTAGATGACAGAACAAATAAATAAATAAATACAGTAGTCCCTCGCTACTTGGCGGTTAATTTATCGCAGATTCGCTCTATCGCGGTTTTTCAAAGTAATATTGGACATGACACAATTGGCTGATTGACGGATGAGTCGCACGATCGGCATGGAATTTTTATTTTAAATGAAGTATTTTAAATTATTTTGCACCTCCTGCACCTTTGTGCAGCCCATACTGCAGGATAAACTTCCTGCTGCAGCTAAACAGATGATAAGATGTTCAGCCTGCAGAGTGGAGAAGTGGGCGTGGCCAAGAGTGCATGCAGGTGGCAAAGAGCGGAGGAGGCAGGGAGTTGAAATCATGACATCCTGTATTCTTTTAGAGTGTTTAGGGTTTAGAAACATTTTTTTAATTATTGCAAGAGTGTGGGAAGTGTTTAAAATGCCATATATATATAT